AACATATAATTAACATTACAATGTATTACTGAATTTTTATTTAGTTTAAGTACTTTTATCTAAATCTAAAATGTTGAGATATATACAGAAATATTTAAGACTTTAAATTATGAAATTCTTAATATTTTTTTTTGTATACAAGTAATATTATATATATCAAGTTTATATATAATTATAATACACATTTTTTTCTTACATTAAGTAAGAATAAGAAGTAATAATTATAATACACATTTTTTCTTACATTAAAGTTTGAATTTTGAATCGATTGGAGTAAATCATACGCAAATATGCATTATTGTTTTTTTCACGATTCCTTTCTATCGATTAAAAAACTCAATATAAATTTTGTACGATTGTATTTTATATATATAAAGCTAATCCTCCTTTTCTAGTGTTCGTTCTATATAATTCATTCATATGTTACACCTCGATCAAACAATCCTGACAATATTCGCCAAAATAATCTGTCACAGTAAACATCTATTTCTCATGATTAAATCAAAACAGATTCCTGTTGTATCCATATAGTCAACCTGTTGATCGTTATTTCTCACGTTATTCGATTCTGCAAAAATATTTAGGCATCTCAAAGCGAATCACACCTACACTTTGTTGTGTCGATTAATATCTACAGAAAAATATTTCCTTGTGATCTTTCATTCGAAAAATTAATCGGCAAGAAGATACACAGTTTTATATAAAATTTATAGATTTTTCCCCGCATAGTATGCATGTTTTTAATTAAATATCTACCAAATGCATACTTTTAAGAATCTGCGCTATCTATTTATATAAAAATATAAATTTTCAAATAAAAAAATATAATCAATTTTTAAAAGAAAATTGATTCAAACTTATTGATTACTAATATGTTTATAACTCCTACAAACGTGCGACCGATAGTTCTACGTAAAAAAAGGATGAATAGTTTTTCATAGTTTTACATAGCTTTTTTCCTCGCGTGCTCTCGCTTTTTATGAAATTCCACTGGTCTTTTTATGAAATACCTCGAATATAGAGACGTGTGCGGTAGCGAGAGATCAAGACAACGAGCGAATGCGTTGATCGACGTGTATCCGGATGTGCGGCGAGCTGAGCGGTTTACAAACGGCCTCGTAAAATACACGAGACACGTCCGTTTGCGTTAACGCGTCTCTATTGAGCCGGTTGCGAGGAGAGAGATGAGCCCGATCGATTGCCTAGAGCTTCCGGTGCTCCGCGGGCGCAGCTGCGCTACGTCCTGTGATGTGTCCCGTGCGCGATTCGCACGAAAACCTATTATCCCAGGATGGAAGTGTGTGCACAAACGCAGTTGATGGTGGCGGTGTGCGGTGGGCCTGGACACGATTGCCTGTGCAATCCGGGGGTGAGCGACGATGACGACAGGTCTTTCGCACGCTACTATTTACGGAATGTTCAAACCTATGGCTCTTCATATTCGCGGCCGAATATTTGCTTAAATTACTCCGCAATGTGGTTTAATGAGACAAACGCGTGACATTTTTGGGGCCGAGATACGCGCACGCAAATTCTTTCCTTCAACTTTTTTGTTATTTTAAATATTGATTCGATTTTTATATTGATAATCGGGACGAATATGTAACGACATTATATTGAGATGTCATGTAAAATTGTAACGCTTATCGGGATTGTCGTTTTTAAACATTTCAATCGTAAATATAAAAGAAGATTAATACAAGATTGTAATTAATTTGATTTGACTTTCAAGAACTGTGACACTTTTTTTATTTCTTTTATTTCTGATTATAATAATTTCTGATTATCTAATTTTAGACAATATTGTATATTTTAGATATAATTGCATACAAGTGCGGATATTCTATATTTATTTTATGAGATGCTGCCGCATCGTCATTTGTGGAATAGCTGTCATTGCGAAATTATGGTCTGGTTATTACAGGTGTATTCAGTTTACGTCCATGCATTACGTATCATCGCGTTTAATGGGTTTCCCTTCGAATTGCACGAATTGCGAAGCAGATCCATCGTGCTTTCTGTATGATTATAACGTATTAGTTGCTGATGACGTCGTGATTAGCAGGTGTTGCTATGCGTAAACAAGAAACATGATTGAGCAATATGCATAAGAGCAATATGCATTTATCAAATCAACTAGCAAATCATAAACGCTTCGTTTTTCCGAGTTATGTAAATTATAAATTGTGAAAATACAATCTGACGAGCGAATATCTACGCGAAATTATTAAAAATGATCAAAAAAATCATTTTAAAATAATTTTAAAATTTTTTGTATTTATATTGCATATATTATTAACAAATAACAGTGAAAATGAAAAAATCGTGATACGTAATGATATGTAAAAATACATTAAAGTAACAATTGTTACTTTGAAAATACAGATTAATGATTTCATATTGAATCAATCTTGAATTGTCAAATCATTATATCGATTAAATAAACAATATCTGGTCTTGAATTTAAATTTATGTGTGTGCGAAATAAAATTAGAAAAAATACCTGTATGTCTCCTGTTCCAGGCACATAATGTAAACAAATAAATACGCAATATTATGGTCCAACCGTTTTAATATTGAACAAAGCGCTGCGACACAACGGAAACCATTAAACCATCTGTAAATTCGTTATCACACTTGCCACGTCCGAGAGCTTTATTATTAAATAAATGCAATAAATGTTCTAAATAGTAAGCGTTCACGTATACATATATTAATATTTGATAACAGCAACCGCGATAATTGTATAACCATGCAAAATTCCCGAGATTAACGAATATATACATAATAAAAGATAGACCGCATACGAGAGGAAAAAGAAAATCGATTCGAGTCATTATTTATAGAAACATTCGCGCGATATGATTCAATTGATCAAGCATATAATTTATAAAAAAACTTACATAAATACATCACATTAAATTTATTAATAATTAATTAATGAACGCTTTAATTAAATATATTAATAATTAATAACATTTCAATTTAATTTATTAATAATTAATTTAATTGGAATATTATCAAATATATTAAAAATTTTCTGTAGAAAATTTCTACAGAAAATTTTTAATAATTGTTGAAATTTTGATTAAATGGTCTCGAAAACGTTTTGAATTGACCCGTTCTCTAATTAATCGTCCAGGCATAATCGGTATCAAGAATTTCATCCTGTCATAACGGTAACGTCCTGTTGTAATGACACAGGACAACGAGAAAACACCGATGCATGTTGTGGAGGAAACGAAGAGTCTGAATGCGCAACGAATAATTAAATGTCAATCGCACGCTTACTCGTTGGGCGCAGGCTTAGAATCTTTGCGCCGATTCTCCCTTTTTATTCCTTTTTCTCTCCTTCTCTCTCTCTCTTTCTCTTTCTTTCTCATTTCCTCTCATTTCCTCTCATTTACCTAATGCGCACATACGAGTATAACACGTCAGTAGCTATTACAGTTGATATGAACCGTCATTTATTTGGAGCAACAGTTGCATCAATCAAGAATTTCACGTCTGTATGATGCGACGTACTACGTTGATAAATGCATCGTGCAATGCAATGATACAATATGATATGATACAATACAAAGATCGGAAGATATACACGTATAGAATGATAATAAACAATGATTTTACAACAGCGTATGCAAGCGATAAAAGATTTAAATTTTTTGAAAAATTTTACAAACTGATTTTATTTCAAATACTTACAATTTAATTTTGAATTTGATTATTGAAATCAAGCTCTCGATTACGTAGATGAAAACGAAAATACATAATTCATGGAAAATGTAAATGTGGGCGATATACGAAACATCACAATGGAACGGCTATAAAAGGTTCTAAAAGACCGAAGTGTAAAATGACAATGGACGAGGAGGGTAAACACAAGAGGTGAGAGAAAAAGAGAAGGAGAAAGAGAGGGAGCAGTCAAAGAGGAAACGACGCGTGAAAGGATGACAAAGAGAGATGGAGTTCCGTGAAGTGGTGAAAGATTAATGGTGTCGCATAGTCTCGCTGCTGATTAACTTGGATTCTATCAAAGTACTTCGCAATTCGTTAATCTCTCGATTATCATCGTACCAAACCTGTTGCATTCCTTTCAACAAGCGATTATTTTACGTAATACAGCTGTTTCTTCTCGAGAAAACTGCTCGTTGTTTTTATTATAATTAGTTCGCTATTATACCGGGAAAAATTTTCTCTTGATTCTTTATTTTATTTACGATCAAATTCTCTTCAAGGTATCACGCCATATATAATCTCTATCTAATCTATAATATTTTCAATTTTATTATAAATTGTTTTTATTATAATTGTTTTTATATAATCATTTTTTAAATTTGAATCTTTTTCTCAATATCTTTTTATAATATCACATAATTTTTACAAATAAAATAATGATATAGATTATATAAGATAAGAAATCGATAAACACATGAATAGATAAGTAAAACTTATGCAAAAGAAGCAAATTAATATTATTTTTTAATATGAATAAAAATATTACATACAAAGCAAAGCATAATTAGGAAAATAAATTAATCAAGTACTTTGGCAAGTACTTTAATCGTTTTTTATTTCGGTATATACTTAAGAGAACGTATTTTATGAATTATTTTTAATATTAAATTTTTTTAATAGCAATAATATGCTTTTTTATGTATATCTATATTAGATTGTTGAGATAAAATTATATTTACTCGGAATACTAATGTTTACATAATGGACTGGTACATCAATAATGCTAAAAGTTTCAATGTAATTTATGACGAAAAGTCAATATTCGAGACTGAAGAGACGATATGCAGCGCTATATTATTGTTCGCGCAGTAGTAGATATCAGCGATATGAATCATCAATATCAGTGTCGGAGAACTTTGGCCGATCGATAGATATAGTTAGAGAATCTAAAGCGAATTTAAACTCTTCTTGAATTTCAAGTTCCGAACGTCTCGAAGGTGCTTCAATTATGGCAGTAATCAGTGCGCTAATTATATACTCACTTCTGTGTCCTTTATCCATGACTGGATCTCTCCTCAGCTTCACTCTCCTCTTCGCATTCATCCGTGGAGCTGAAAGAAAGAAAATATATAAATCTGAAAATTTAATCTCGTTAAAACTTTAAATATAATAACGACCAACTTTCATCTTGATGTATTAATAATATTCAAGAAAAGCAAATTGAAATTTAATAAAAAGGAATAAGAAATGAATTTAAATAAATTTAATACGTGAATATATAAAGATATTGTAAGAACATAATATAATAAAGAAAAGATTCAGTTGTAGTTATGAGATTTAATTTTTAAAAATCCAATTTGTGAAATATGAAAAAAAGAAAAAGAGAACCAACCATGTGTTTTTTTCATTTTTAAATTGAAATATAAATTGAAATTAAGGATTAAAAAATAGTTTAATCTCATTTTCCATAAAATAGAGAACAAAGAACTAATGATGTATCATAAAATAGCCGTGATTTAACGAAACAATGCATATTACTTTTCAACGTGATTCGCGAGAAGAAACAAAATTTCCTTTAACATTGTCAGTTAACAGTTATCACTTTCGATTGCTCTTGCATTTCTACGTAATAGTTGTTTGCCGTTTCGTATACACGCTGATGAAAATTGTTCTGCAAAAGAATGAATTTAATCAAAATTGCCGATGTATTTCGCGCGGCAGCGAGAATCCCTCTGTTTTAACACGTTCGGAGCAACAATGACTATAAAAGGCGAAGCGAAAGGAACATCACGATCGAAATTTTCGAGCAGTTCCCTTTTTATAATGTACCCTGGCGATTTCTGCTTCATGTAGCGTGAAGACGATTTTGGCGTTAACCCCGATTGCATCCTATCTACGTTCGATCTCGACACGTCATCGTAACCGCCTTGAAAAATTGATCCGATGACCCGCGCACAAACTTAGAAATAGACTTGTCGAAGCGGCAAAGCGAAAATGAATGAATATTTAATCATGCGAAACGCAAATATGTTTTTAAAAAAACAAAAGAGAATGAGAAATGTAAAATATTAAAATATATTACATATTTAAAAAAAAGAATATAATATAATATAATTTTAAAAAATTACAGAGATAAATATTTGAAGAAAAATTTAATTATAACATGTGTAAAGAAATTGTTTATGTTGCAATTGTGTAAATCTTGTATATTTTTGAGTTTCAGTCTAACTTCAGATGAAAAAACTCGTGAAACACGCTTCTGCGTAAACTTTGTTAGTTTCGGGCGCAGCGAGAGTTAAAGTCGCGTGATTACTTAGCACTTGATTATCTTTCCGCCATGCTCTTCTCTTTTCCGTACCGGTGTATTTGTTGGCGAGAAAATTAATTTCTTACATTAAGTAAATCGAAAATCAAAGGGCATAACTATCTAATTGTAAATGAGAAACTGGAATTCCTCACAATTATTATCAAGATAAAAGTTTGTACATATTTAATGTAATATATCTTAATCTTTTTATGCCGTAATCTTCATTTTTGAATAAAATATTTTATATGAAAATTTAAATATATACAATTTTTAAATACATATATTCTGTTAAGATTGCCTCGATTATGAGAATAATTTGCATTTTGAATTATTTTCTTAAAAAATAAAGTACTTGTTAAATGTTATGATATATGTTTTTATTTTATATTAAAAACAAATTTAATGATTAACATGTGAATTAATTAGTTTGCGATGTATATCACCGATAGCACATTTTTATCGCTTCACACCCGTGTGAATTTCCTTTAATTCACGAGATGTTGCGTAGACCGTATCTCACCCCTAGAGGCATAAATCAATTACGTGACCCACTAACAGTTTCAACAAACGACTCTCTCGTGCAAACTGCGTTATCCGTCGTCGCGGCAAACTTGCACATCGTAAAATTACATACAATCACTTTAGCTCAGGGTTATCTTTGCACCTCCTCTTGACTCTCTGCTCTTCCTCATTGTCTCTCTCTTTTTCTTTCTCTGTTTCTACGGAGAAACTCGCTTTCGCTCTTTTGTCGCTCTATTTCATGCGCAGCTTGTTGCATCGTAGTTTATCGGCGATACAGACGACGATATAATCCGCCTTCCGATCGACATGCCGTTAATGAACACGTAGACAGATCGCGATTCGCACGTAGCTCTCGCATGTCGTGTAGGATCGCGATAAACTGCCATCGGTGCAATCGATATAACGAAGCGGGAGCGAGCTTGTCGAGAGAGAAAAATGAAATGGTCCGTTTTTCCAGCCGTAACTCGGTGACTCGCACCACGAGAAGGAAAATACGCTGTGTCGACCAGCCTCGCGATAAAATCTTTGGCAATCTCATACGCATTGGAAAAGCCATCCAAGTTCTTCTTGCGTACTTTTCGCCAGCTGTCAATTTTCTATACATAAAGCAGTATCACTATGTGTGTGAAATAATTTCCAAAAGAGATCCTCTGATTTTCCATATTTTCAATTAATGATTATATAATAATCCGAAAATTTGATAGATATAAAATGATAAATATTTGTGTGGTAATTTTCTTTTTTTGTCCAGCTTTGGGTTATGATATATATAAATTATTATAAATAATTTAAGATATAAGTACTAATCGGATAAATTTTGTATGATTTTTCGAAAAATATATTTACATGTTTTATGAAACGCTTTGTAAATTAAATTAATTTGTAAATTATTTGTAAATTAACCTTTCTTCGTCTGTATTAAAACACTATTTGAATTATTTCAAAAGATGATTTTCTTTTAATTTTAATTAAACGTGATGAAAGGCTTTTATCGGAAGGCTTAAAAAAACTAGGTCAGCTATAATAAAAAGATACTGCATCGTGACCGAACTAAGTTAGTCTCTCGGCTAATGGTGATAAAATCATTCTGCTGACAATGTATAGCAAAAATTATTCATGTACATTTCGCATACATATTATACAATCAATATTTAAAAATAATATTTTCTGCAATAATATAAATTTAGAACTAACATGAGAGAGAGAGAGAGAAAGAGAGAAATAAGAGGAATATAAAACGCGTTTTAATCGAGATGTTTGTAGCTTTTTAATCTGCATAGGAAAAACACTATGTTGAACCAACTGGTGACATGATTTCTTGAATAAAAAAAATATATGTATTTTTACAACAGAGAAACCGTTTCAATTCAAACAAACTTTATGCATTCGACTATACATATTTAGGAAAAAAGAAAATATTTATCTTACGACAAAATAGAATGATCTAAATATTTTTGAGCAAGAGTCCAGCGCAATGCATATTTACAACTAGATCGTCTCTCTTATTTTCCTCGTAAACATTTATACATCCCAGAAACATAGCCTGTAAAAATATAAATATTTACAAGCAAGATATTTATCGATAATCTCATAAATTGTTCGAAAATTATTATTTTTACAAATTTAGAAATCTTTTAGAAATCTTTTAGAAATCTTTTAGAAATTTTTACAAATTTAAACTAGGAAGAAAAAAAGTGTGCAAAAATGCTTGCAAATAATTATTATAAACATAATAGATATGATTGTACTTCATCTCTATGAATTATTACATTAATAAAAAAATAATATAACATGAAAAATGAAATATAATAATTCTTTCATTTATAGAACGGCGGAAAATTCTTCCGACTACATTTTAATTATATATCACAACCTCTCTCTTCTACGGAAGAGAGGATTCTAGCTAGCGCACGCAAAACCATATGCAAACCGAGGGCGATGTTCGATTACGCTCGAATCAGGTATCATACAAATCTAATTAACCCAAATGTCGCGTTGTCCTGGACAAAGAGACAGGCCGTTTCGTTTTCCCGTAGCAAATTAAATAGTAGTTGAACTCGACACCTTGGGCACGACACTCGAGTGTGCAGATCCACAGTGACCTCCGAAATTAAATTCCAGATTCCTAATTAATGGGATTTCACCACTGGCGGATACAAAAACTCGGGATTAACTGCAACCAGTGTTATCCGCGAAATTGAATCACGCCCAGCAAGCTCGAAGCTCGATCGATCAAACGCACTCTCTTTCCACCTACAACTTTTTTTCCGTAATGCTAACATTTGCGCACTCGTGGCGAAAAATTCCTGCGGCTTTGTGGGTACCCAATATTCCTTTAATAAGATACGAAATTATCTGTGAAAAATTAAATAATAAATGGTGCTACGTATCTTCGCTCATTACATTATTAATTAATAATGAAGAAAAAACTATAACTTTTATAAAACACACGAAAAAAATAATCATATTTCGCTACATTCGATTAAATAAGAATGCCGTGAGAATGATAATACGAATATTTTCATTCTTTTTGAATATAAAAAAATATAGAAAAATATAGAAAAATATTGAGAGATGCTATTAAAAGAGATGATGATGAAACTTCTAGAGGTAAAAGCGTACACATCTTTTCGAAAGTAAAGTTTCTATAATAAATCTTACTAAGATCACTGTCGACGTCATGAATGACGATCTTAATGCCCTCCCCGTCGACCAGACTGCTCTGTCTAGGCAATTCACGTTCTTCAGCTGCGACCCTGCTAACAGCCGTTGAAGGAGCGGCTTTTGCCGCTCCTGGTTGAGCTGATGTCAATGCCCTTATTGCGTTTATGTCAGGTCTGAAATAACACATAGAATACCCAATATGATTAGTAAAAAATCTTTCAAATACATAAATTTATTTTAGAATAAAGATTTTTTTGTGACATCTAATTAATTCTTGTAACGTTTAATTAATTGATATCTGAAAGAATTATTTTTATAAAGATTGAGCATATTCAAAATATTCTTACATAAATGTACATAAATTTTTTTTATCAATATTCTACTTCAAAAAATTCATCACTTATATTTATGTATTGCTAACGATGTGAACAAACTACAAACATTTGCGAGTTATTTGATCGATGCTCAAACTTCACTTTGGAGATTAAAAATATTGAGGTGAGCATGGACTAAAAATATTGAGGTGAGCATGGAGGTAAGCCGACTTAAATAATTGACTATAAATATTATATAGGTTATCGAATTCAAACTATCGTAGATTTAAATCGCAAGATGGATATTGCTTGTTTATATTGAAGCAAGTTTTGTTATTACTAAACTATCTAGAAATAATCAAGATAAGTTTATCAATAATTTCATCAATGTTCAAAGGGGCAAAGAAAAATGTTATAACCAATATATTGACTCTCAACTTTTTCGATTAAAATTGCGATAATAGACTTTTGAAAAATTATTATTTTATTTGCTAAACGGTATAAAATTGGAAACCATGTTAACTTGAAAATAAACTTTCCTTTATGTACAGTTTATTTATATTGGATGGTATAATTAAAATATTTCTTGCTTCTAAAATGTTATTTATAATTTTAACTGAAAAGTGACTTGAAAGTAATTGAAAATGTGTGTGTGTGTGTATATATATATATATATATATATATATATATATATATATTTCAAATTAAAAATTAAACGATTGTAATAATAATTTTATAATACTTGAAAATTTTGTTAAATTAAAAAAACTCCAATTTCGTTAAAACACACACATTTTTAATTACTTTCAAGTCACTATTCAGTTAAAATTATAAATAACATTTCAGAAGCAAGAAATATTTTAATTATACCATCCAATATATATATATATATATATATATATATATATATATTGGATTGAAATATATATATATATATATATATATATATATATTTCAAATAAAAAATTAAACGATTGTAATAATAATTTTATAATACTTGAAAATTTTGTTAAATTAAAAAAACTCCAATTTCGTTAAAACACACACATTTTCAATTACTTTCAAGTCACTTTTCAGTTAAAATTATAAATAACATTTCAGAAGCAAGAAATATTTTAATTATACCATATCGGTGTCATATGTCACTCTGATTACAATTTCGCAAGAAAGAAAGAAAAAAAGATTTTTTGCGAGCGTAATAAAAAGGTTGAACTTTGGACTTGTCGCTCTTTAATTCATCAAATGTCTCTAACTTACAACATAAAACAAGTTAAATCTTAAATTAGATTTTCTTTACGAGAGGTGAAGGCAAACGAAGACGGAAAAATACAGTCTCGTTACTAACATCTTTACCAAAGAAAAAAGTTTTTTTTATTTTTTGTTTTTTATTTTTTTTTTATACCACGACGAGACTTTCAAACGTAACCGCAATTGCGTTAAACTATTCCTCGTGCAATGAGCATCGCCGGGCAAGCAATGAATTTATCCACCCGCGCACAGCGTGATACCATGGACACAAATTACCACCCTAATTCCACGCTATAAAGGCTAAAGAAGCTTACGTTCGAGGTTCATAAAGTAGTCTCGACCGCCGTAACCACCATTTCATCCGGTGCAAAAATGGCCAGTAGCTTTTCGGATTTCGTGGGATATATTTAACGCTAAGTGCGAAGGTCTGATTTTTAATTTCTGAAATAACTTTGTGCGTGATTTTCATATATGGTAGTAATCAAAACTATTGCATCACTTGTAGAAACAGAAAATATTACTAATAATTATTTATATAAATACAAAAACGTTTATAACTATTTTATTGCGGTTATTTTAGGCTTTAATATCATAAAAATTAAAAATTAATGTAATAAATAAAATTATTACATTTTTTATTAATACAATATATAACATAAATGTGTTTTATGTGTTGAATATATTTCGTTGAATATTTTTCTGTCAGGTTTCTTTGAAAATAATCTCTTTTTATATTTTTGTGAGAAATTTTGGTCTACTAAGCTTTTTAAACAAAAATTGATTAATTTGATGTTAAATGTAAGATATGAATATGATTTCCAATATGTAAACGTTCCAATACGTAAACTCCCAAGAGAAAAGCATCGAAACATTGGTACTATCAAGCAGTTTGTTATATATACAAAGCTCTCAACGTGCATCATATCGAAAGTTTCCAGCATAATCCTACAAAAGTTTTCTATAGGAGAAATTTCGACGATTACGATAAGAGCACCTGCTACAAACTAACGACGAAGAATACTAATAAAGTTCCATTTTCGCGGTAAGTCGTTTGATTGGAAAGAGAATAAATAAAGGGAATGGATAAAGTGATATAAAAGATTAAAGTTCATGTAGATTTTGCATTTACAAACTAAGAAGTATGAGTGACATATTGCTTGAAGATACTTTAATTATTAATATTTTAATTGGAAATGTATAAAATATTTCGTGGCTTTTGAAATTTCTTTAATATGTCAAAAAGTATCTTAGTTTAATTGAATTCTCATTCAAATTGACTGAAAATTTATATTAAGATGTTATACTGTCCGATCTATTTATATCGTGCTGACAGTCTTTTTGGCGAAATTTCTTCAAGATTCACTTCACGAGGAAAACGTGACCGCGCTTTCGCTCGCTTTTACAGAAAGGTTGGCTACAAGTTGAATTCTGCTTGAGAACTACAAGAGATATCTTCAAGAATAAGAGCGCAAGTTCTAAAGGAACATATACGTCTGTATCGCGTTTCCAACGTTCTACTTTCGAAGTAACGAAGCGGAAAGTTACCGCATCGCTTTTCGTAATAAATAAAAATTTATAAGTCGGTTGGGAGCCGATTATACGCAAACGATTGTCTGAAAATCCCTACGGCTACGCTGCGGTAAAAACAGACGATATCCTCTCGGTGTGTATGACGTTGATGCAACTGCCTTGCCGTATCCTCCCGTTTCCTCTCGCAAATTGAAACTGCAATTTCGCTGACGGTCGTGGCAGCGCGTGCCCCGCAGCGCTGGGCTTATCATTTCGCATTTTTATGCGCAGCGCAGAAAAATTCTGCCCCTTCCTTCTCTCCCAAAAAAATAAGAAATAAAAGCGATGCGAACGATGAGACGAATAAAACAGATTTTCAAACGAGCCATGCAACTTTTAACGAGTCTCGAGTGTTCCAAAAGCGTTTCCGTTTCTCCCACGAGATGCATAATTTCGTAATCGCGGCGCGCTCATCGTTCAATTATTTTCGAAGAGATGGAAACGCGGGCAAAAGATCACTATATATATACAAAGAAATATTTTATCGTTACTTTTACATTTCTCATTAATTGTACTCTTTGTTAATTACATCCTGTTACGACACAATGATATTGAAAAATTTTCTTTATCATTTTACATTTTGCATCAGCTCTTCTTCTCCGTGTCTTATTGTTTTCGGGACACTCGTAATTGCATTCTGAGTCTTTCTTTGAAGTAATTTACAACCATGGTTGTATCTCAGAATACAATTACAATGGAAAGAAGGTCAATTCTCCGAGTTTTCCCTGTTTATTACAGCTGACACATACAAGAAAAAAATATATATATTGCAAATTCCAATATATTATTTTTATAAAACATATTTTTATAAAATTTTTATAAAACACACAAATGCAAGATTTCATCCCAATTAATAACTCTCAAACAACGTTAATTACTACTCGAATTTAATTGGAAAAGAGATTTACTTTCTATTCGTATAATATATTTTCTATTCGCTAAGAGATTTATTTAGTTAAAGAGAATTTTTCAATTTTTAATATTGCTTAATGTCAAAATTAGATCCTTTATCTAATTTTTGTCAAGAAGGAATTGATTGCTCAAAGAAGAATCTGCTATTAACAGTGAGCGGTGACTATAAAAACGGGATTGCTCTGCGAATGGATCTCCTTTCATCTTGCATTGATAGTTCTTCCTTCTATAACCACGTTCAATCATATGAACTCGTGTGGTATCGACAAGAAGCGATTTTAGCCGCGAGCAATCGACCTTTCAAACGTGAATCCGTCTATTCGATAAAATCTTGCATTAAATGCACGACTTTGTCGAATGTTAGGGACGTTTATTTCGGTGGAAATAAAAATGCAACAGCCGTTGGCAAAACGTTTTTGCAAACATCTCGGTGTAGATCGAGATTGAAAAGTAGCGTGCGATCACGCATCTGATTTCTCTTTCAAATCCTCATGTTTCGATGGAATGGAAATTGCGAAGAAGATTGCGTGCAAATCTCTCTCTCCCTCTCTCTTTGCGAGATGTTTTTCTAAATCAGTTCGTCGATATGTAGTAGTTTCTTTTTAATGGTTTTCCCTTTACGCGCGAGCGCGTTTTATGAGGATATATTTTTTCTTAATTTGTAATTTGCGCAGAGAAATCGTTAAAATATTCGATATAATTTTATCTTAATTCGTGGACATATTCTAAGTTATATCGTAAATTACAATTAATATTATTTGTAGTTTTTAATTGTAATATTAATCAAATATAAATCAATTTTTCTAGTTCTCGTAATTAATTCAAATCTCTATATTTAGAAATTTTTCTGAAAAATTTTATTCATAATTAAAGATATAACATCGTGAATAAACTATTTTTTAATGTATCAGAATGAGGATTCGATAGAAAGAAATATACCGGTCAAAGAGAGCAGTCGTTACGTTTATAACTTACATTTCTTAATATTTTCCGAAGACATTTCTGGCCTCTGTCCTTTCACGTTCATCGCCATTAACCTTTAGAAAACGGAATTTCCTTGGTAAAAGCATGCCCTCGGTTCACAAATTAAATTCCAGACGCGTATATTCTTTTTTTAAAATGTAAATTGA